CTGCCTCGGGAAGTCTGACTCTCAGTTTATCCACAGGTCATACCAAAATCCATATTTTTGGCCCCAAAAGTTGACCTCGACTTATACAGGAGGTCAACTTATAGTCAAGTATATATGGTATGTGTATGTGAAACATCAATAGGACACCAGCCAGATTTTTAAAAATTTTCTTAAAATTGTTGAATGCGTTGAGTACATAGAATTTCTCACAGTAATAGCTTTAGACTAATCTTTTTCTATAGCTGATGAATATTAAGGTATAGGGTTCTTAATTCAACTATTTGGGGAGGATACTTTTTATGTTTTTCTGGATCTCAGAAAAATGCATCAATTAGAAAGGAAGAAAGAAGGAATACAATGCAACTTCTTATGATAGATGAAAAAATGGAAAAAAATTGCCAGGTTGGAGAATCTGATAAACCAGAGATCTGATTTTATAAACCAGAGATTTTCAGGAACTGTGGCTTATCCATTATAGGCAAAGTGCTCTGTAGTTTATTGTGTTGTTCAAATGAGAGTCATTTTGGGTTTGTGTTTATAATTTTTTGGGAGAGAAACAAATCAGAAAAGAGAAATCACCCATGATCAGACAACATAACAAACCACTGTGCAAGACCACTCCCTTTTCAAGTGGCTCATGTGTGGCAAGCCAGGGCACATTCATCTCCCTTGCTTAGTGTTTTGTCTGAATTCATTAAATTAAATGAATAGTACTTAAAAATAACCATAGATTATGTAGGGTAAGCATGTGCTTTGGAAAAAATACAGTAAAAACCCTAGATTATTTATTATTCTTCAAATGCAGGATATTCTTCTTATCTAGTGATGATGTTCAGAGACCACTTGTATAATCCCTGAGAGGCACTTGTATAATCCCTGCAGTCCCAAGCTGGCTTATTCCAGGTCCTTTTTGATCCGATCTGAAGGACTGGATTCTGGCATTGAAGCAGCTTCCAGATCTTTGGAGGCATGTTTGAATGCCACCCCCGCCCCCCCAGTGGCCAGAAGCCACTTTATTTGGCTTGTGTGTTTCAGGTCGCAGTTAGTCTCAAAGGGGCTACAAGATCCCCTTGCAAACTGATATTCCAGACTAACATGGCTATGTCTGAATTCTATAAGCATGTTTAATGTCTTTTTTAGATAAGGATCAGGAAACAGCATGACTTAAAATCTACTTTTTATTCTGAATGACAAAGCATGCAGTGCTCACCCCACAACTACCAGCAAATCTGTATTTGACTATAAAATTAATTCTGTCAATAACACATTTGGCCAGTCTAAGGTACAATGGGATTTACCTGTTGAAGCATGCTGGCAGTGAACTGCATTGCCTGATGGTGCTGTTCCTCTAGCATGTCCATGTGCAGATCATCCAGGAAATCATTTCTGTCATCATCCATCCATCCTTCATCCAACTATAAGGACAGAACAAGAACACAAATATTGGTAGGAGCAGATTCTGGAAAGTCTTGTTTGTTAAAGGTAGTTTGATCACATTACTTGTGGTTGTATTCAGCAAGTTATCATTGTTGTTACTTGTTGCATTACATGTCATGGTATTTTTCAATTTTATTATTTACTTTTAGTTTTTTTAAAAAAAGCATCCTTAGGATTTATAAGAGAATGACATGTTGCTTGGGGATTCTGGGGATTGTACTCTAAAAGTAACTTTTCCAAGCTACATCAGAGAAGTTGTAAATCACTGACAAATTAGTCTCCTCTCCGTATAAGTGTTCCTTAACACAATGCTTCTCAGGCTACCTGATGTGGGGAATCAGCATTTCCCCCCCTCATGTGCGAGGGGCAAATACCATATTTTTGCCCATCAACTATGTTGCTATGTGCTTTCAAGTAAGTTCTGACTTATGGTGACCCTAAAACATCCCTATCACAGGGTTTTCTTGGCAAGATTTGTTCAGGGGATTTGCCTTCCTCTGTGGCTGAGAGAATGTCACTTGCCCAAGGTCACCCAGAGGGTTTCCTTGGCTGAGTGGGGATTCAAACCTTGGTCTTTAGAGTCGTAGTCCAGTGCTCAAACCAGTACACCACACTGACCCATTAGATACAACTGTTTTATGCCCTGGCCATCTCTTGTCTTGACTAATGAAGCTTTCTCCATCTTAGCCTCCCACTCTCTTGCCTTAGTACCTTTCCCTGTATTTAGCACTTGGCTCCATTCTCTTACTACTTGCACCACATGACATCCCACCTTAACCTCCTAAAATGGCTTTCTGTTTGCACGAGGCTGCATCTACACTGCAGAAATAATCCACTTTAATACCACTTTAATTGTCATGGGTCAGTGCTATGGAATTTTGGGAATTGTAGTTTTGTGAGACATTTAGATTTCTCTGTCAGACAATTCTGGTGCCACAACAAACTACAATTTCCCAAATCCCATAATATAGAGCCATGACAGTTAAAGTGGTGGTGTCAAATTGGATTATTTCTGTAGTGTGGTTACAGCCCCAGATGCAGCACATACTCCTTGGCCTTTCTGTTAAAGGTCTCAGTGGTCCTGCCTTCTCTTATTTCTCTGTTCTTACATCCTCAGGATGTTTGCTTATCCAATTGCATTACCCTGAAACATCAGAATTACCTGGGCTCTGTAAAGCAGCACACATAGTAAAAGTGTCCTACAAATAATAGTTAAGCAAAAATTGATACAGCACCTGGAGAATTTCTGGTCTTGCTATGAGTAAGGAGACATTTTTGCTTTCTTCACTGGTAAGGAGTGCCACAGCTTCCTCTCGATTTTGTATCTCAATGCCATTAATCTTGTAGAAAGAGAAACACATATTGAAATCCCAGTGTATAGCAATCTAAAGAAGAATGTCACTTTATGATATATGCAGTGAAGCATGCCTATAGAAAACCTGCAACCCTATACATATTTTTGACCAAGAACACATTAGTCCATGTTGAAACACAGAATGGAGTGTAATCCATTATATCCATCTACACAAATCCTATTGAAATGAATGAGTGGCTAATCTCAGAGGTCTTAGTTTAATCCCTCATTTGATCAAAACATCACTGCCAAACCTCAGCACCTTTTAACAAGATCCTTCTCCTTACCTCTAAAATGGGAATAATGCACCTTACACCCAATTATACTGTAGGTTCTGATGTAGTAAACTAATCAAGCAGCTATTTTAAATAACAGTTTTGAACAGTAAGTTGGACTGGCTCTACCATTAGGGAAATCAATGTATGCCTCAGGCAGCAAATACAAGGGGGAAGGTAGCAAGAAGATCTTGGAGTATAGAGTCACACAATTGCTGATCTACCTTAGTTTCCTCAGGTGATGAGGATCTGTTGCATTACCATAAGATTCAATTATCACTCTGGCCAGTTTTTATATGTTCTCTCTCTCTGTGTATCTGTGTATATGTAATGCATGCATGTGTGGACATCTTATCCTTCACTTCAGGCAGCAAAATATCCTGGAGCAACCTGATCAAAAATTCTCTTTTTGTAAAGGCATCTTCACATGGGGGGAGGGAGTTGTTTTTCTATGGCAGGACAAACTCTTGTTTCTAAAACTTTGCCCTTGCAAGATAAATACCTGTTCCTGCCACATAAAGTTTACTGCATCAAAATATAATGTGACAATTGGGATTCACAGGGCTGCTGTGAGGCTGAATAAAATAAGGATTATAAATCTCTCTGCCTGCTAAAAGTGCTATATGATGGCAAATTCAGTAACATTATACCCGTGCTAAGAGACTGTTGGATTGTCCCCTTAGGTAGTTTCTCACAAACATAATGCTGTCAGGTAACACTTTGCCTTTCATGGCTGATCTATGAAAGTAAATACTGCTGCATTTGCCCTAAACTACTGGTGCAGGGCCTTCAGATATTTCACTGTTTGGAAATATTTATATGGGAGACATTTGAAATATGATTTTGTCATGGCTCTCTGCAGGATCACAAAATCAGTAAATGAAGAACTAATACAAAAAAACTGAGGCAGGATTTCAGGTACCATGAATTATTTATAAACTCACTTGAATGATACGATCTCCCTCTCTGATGCGGCCATCCTTTGCAGCAATGCTGTTGGGATCGATCTATAAAAGAGGATAAAGTTGGCTACTTAAGTGAACGTCTACCCTTCGCACTTTTTATCTCCCCAGAGTTTTTACAACAGGATAAGATATAATCCCAAATAACTCAGAATTACAAGAAACACAATTATTAGAATGGATTGGGTAAAATCATCTAAGGAGGTGGGCAGACGGGTGGCTCTGG